AAATTTCAGGAAAATTGTAGATGATTAGTAAAAAAATCAATTGGAAAAAGATTTGTTACCAGTAAGAAAAAGATATTTTATATATATAACAATAAAATTTTCACGTAATTAATATTTAGATAATTAATTTGTATTATCACTAATTGCTTATGTTTGTTAATTCAACAGCAATATATATTAATTGTTGATCATAACTCATAACAAATAAACAAGTAATATACATTTAATTAATGATCAATATTCAATAAGGATGTAAATTTTTAATAAAAATAAAGATTTTTATTTAAGTAAATAAATGCCTATTGAAATTAAAGAATGCTGAACGAAGTATATCACATAATTAAGAATCACTGGTTCAAAGCACTTAAAAATATATACAAATACATCAAAACCGTAGAGTAAACTCTACATGCTCTTTATTAATTTGTTTGTTCAGTACTCTAGCAAAGTCACCGAATACCCAATTAATAAATTAATTGGCGACAACGGCAAGAAAACCGAAAACAGCAAAAACAGAACCCACATTGGATTAGAAGTTCAAAATGGATAAAGAATTATACAACCTTAAACCAGATTCTTTTGCGAATATAATAGAATTTAATCATTCATACATATTTGAAATTAGAAACAATCGATATAAGAGCTAAAGTACCACCTGGACTCCCAAAATTTGGTGATTGATCCTTAGAACTATACTTTAGTTGGTTTAGGATATTCGAAATAAAGGCAAAAATGCAAGGAATATCCAGAGTAAAAACATGTATAATATTAGAATCTTTAACATCAAACATCTACTCCCAGGAAATGGCTAAATTATCGAGAGACAAAAAAATCACCGACATGTTGCAATTTCAAATTAAATTAGCTAAAGTAGTGTTTGAAGATCTAGACGAGAAATTCATTTTAGCAAGGAAGTTATTTAAAGAACCAAAAAAAGTATCTGTGAAAGAATCTATTAGTTCATTTATTGCGGACTGTAATTCGTATGCTCTTAGCTTTTTATGTTTCAAGAAAGAGAATAGCATATGCAGAAAGGATATTTTAAAATGCTTTAAAAGTTATATACGAGAGAAATTCTTAAAATAATTAGATAAGAAGAAGGAAATGTATAAATCTTTTACATTGATAAGAAAATATTTGCTAACTGTGGAAAATAGAGAAACAAAGATAGATGAGGACCGAAATATCACTATAAATGCTGCAGATCAGACCTACCAAGATAACAGTATTGGTAAGGATAAGAAATAAAGTCTTATTAAATGTTATTGTTCTGGAGGGAATAACCATTTAAAAAGATACAGTTTTTACCGAAAAAAAAGATCCAAAATTGTAATGAAATAGGACACCCAGTAAAAGTATGTAGAAATAAAGTGATTCGAGGTAAAGAAGATAAAATTAAACGTATAATGACAGATAAAAAATCTGATTTAAATTTTAAAATGATTAAAAATAAAAAGAATCCACAGAAAATACGCCAAGAGCAAAAATACCTTAATAAACAATTGGAACACCTGGAAGACAAAAAGAAAAATCAAAAGAAAGGTATAAAGAAAATAAACCTAAAGGAAGTGACTAAGAGAAGGATAGAAAGAGAAACACAATAAATAATATATTTAAGGATAAAGAAATTTACATCGATAAAAAATCCGATGAAGGGGTAACAGATTCAGCAGAAAGTGAATTATCTGTTAATAGGAAAATAGAAATTTGAAACGAAAAAGGACGATGTACGAATATGGAAAAAACAGTAGAAATTAAGGGACATAATGTTAATGTATTACTAGATACAGGAGCAGATTTATATTCTGTATCTACAGTTTCAGTCAAAGAACTAGGTACAGAGCCAGACACATCAATACAACCAATAAAGTTTTGTGGATTATATAGAGGAGACATTGCAATGAAATTTAAAAAGGTGAAAATATACATGAAATTTATCAATATAAAGATAATAATCAGATTTGCTATGATAAAAACAAATAAACCCTTTTATTACTTAGTGGTTTAGTAATGGACCAATTAGGATGTGCCATCATAAAAAAAAAAGGATAAATATATATATATCATGGAAGTTAAATCTGAAATAAAAAAAGATGGATTAGAGATTTCGAATAAAGAAATTATTCACAATTTTTTTGAATGATCTGATTTTAAAGATCACAAAAATAAGGAAAAGTAGGAAAAAATATTAAGAAATAATACAAGACCCTGGGAAAAAAAAATAATGGAACCCAACAACAAATACAAAGTTTCTATTCAGGTACAAGGGAAACCTCGACGTTATAATCCTAGACCATTGAGCGAAGAAATGTTATAAGAATTACATCGAAAAATAGATGTAATGATAAAATTAAAAGTAATAAGTAAGGTCATAAATGAAGATTGGACCTCACCAATAATAATGGTTCAGAAGAAAACAGGCCAATGAAAAGTCACATTAGTCTATCGGTATTTAAATAAATTTATACTAGATGATTTATATGTCATCCCACACATAAAACACATATTTCAAACGTTTTATGGAACAAAATGTTTTTAGCAAATAGCCCTCAAAAATGGATTTTGGAATATCGCACTGGAGGAAAATAGTAATCCATATACTAGATTTATAGTTCGAAGAGAGGAACATTTGTATTTAATGTATTGCCATTTGGACTGAAAACAAGTCCTACACAATTTCAAAGAATAATGGAAGATATTTTTATGAAATTAATTCAAGAGAATTATATAGTTGTGTACATTGATGACATTATCATTCTTACAAAAACACTATTTGAACGTGTAGAAGTATTAAAATAGGTATTTGAATTACTCTGTAATAATAATTTAGGAATAAATACAGAAAAGTGTGAACTTTTTAAAACATCTATAACTTATCTT